AAGATAAAGGTAGAAAATATAGTTTATTGTTGTAAGAGAGCAAATGTAGATGATCAGGTGTGTGCCTGTAGACTATGTGTTAATCCAAGCTAGACAAGGGTAATAAAACATCCACGGATGCAGCAAATTTCTCTCAGAACAGGGGGGGAGAGGTTCTAAGCTTCACCTCTGTTGATCCCCAATTTCTCACCTGATGGCCCCCCTGCGACTGTGCCTGTCTTACATGGTTTGGGATTTTATGTTTATAACACCTGCCTGCTGTTTCTTCGGTGCCACTTGCTTTGCTCCCATAGTGACCATCCGGCTTGCTCTCTCTCTTCATATTTTTTGTGTCTTAGGGAGAAGATTTCATCAGAAAGATCTTCTATCTGGAATTAGAAATAAAGTTTTGTCAGAAACACTCTGAACTATGAGAACAGGTGTCAATTCCTCGAGAGACCAATAGGAATAAGACTATGAAATACAGTCTTAATAGAAAGAACAACTATTAATGAGATGAGCTTCAAATTCCAAAATAGAGTTAAAAACTTTCTACTATAGGGTCATGTTTTTTTTTATTAAGGTATTATTGATAATACACTCTTAGGAAGGTTTCACATAAAAAACAATGTGATTACAATCACCCATATTATTGAGTCCTTCCCCATACCGCATTGCAGTCACTGCCCAACAGTATAGTAAGATGCCACAGAGTCACTATTTGTCTTCTCTGTGCTACTCTGTCTTCCCCGTGATCCCCCTCACACCATGTGTGTCAGTTATGATACCCCTCAGTTCCCTTCTCCCTCCGTCCCCACCCGCCCACCTTCCCTTTGATAACCACTAGTCCCTTCTTGGAGTCTGTGAGTCTGTTGCTCTTTTGTTCCTGTCCAGTTTTGCTTCATTGTTATACTTCACAGATAAGGGAAATCATTTGGCACTTGTCATTCTCCACCTGGCTTATTTCACTGAGCATAATATCCTCCAGCTGCATCCATGTTGCAGATGGTAGAATTTCTTTCTTATGGCTGAATAGTATTCCATTGTGTATATGTACAACCTCTTCTTTGTCCATTCATCTACTGATAGACACTTAGTTTGCTTCCATATCTTGGCTATTGTAAATAGTGCTGCAATAAACAGAGAGGTGCATATGTCTTTTTGAATCAGGGATCTTGTTTCCATTGGGTAAATTCCTAGGAGTGGAATTCCTGGGTCAAATAGTATTTCTATTTCTAGTTTTTTGAGGAAACTCCATATTGCTTTCCACAATGGTTGAACTAATTTACATTCCCATCAACAGTGTAGGAGGGTTCCCCTTTCTCCACATCCTCGCCAGCATGTGCTCTTCCTTGTCCTTTGGATGTTGGCCATCCTAACTGGTGTAAGGTGATACCTCATTGTGGTTTAATTTGCATTTCCCTAATAATTAGCAGTGTGAAGCATCATTTCATGTGCCTGTTGGCCATCTGAAATTCTTCCTTGGAGAAGTGTCTGTTCAGATCCTCCACCCATTTTTTAATTGGGTTATTTGCTTTTTAGGTGTTGAGGCATGTGAGCTCTATATATTTCGGAAGTTAACCCCTTATTGGATATGTTGTTTACAAATATATTCTCCCATATTGTAGGATGCTTTTTGTTCTGCTGATAGTGTGTCCTCTGCTGTAGAGAAGCTTTTTAGTTTGACGTAGTCCTGCTTGTTCATTTTTCCTTTTGTTTCCCTTGCTTCAGGCGATGTGTTCAGGAAAAAGTTGCTTATGTTTATATTCAAGAGATTTTTGCTTATGTTTTCTTCTAAGAGTTTTATGGTTTCATGACTTACATTCAGGTCTTTAATTCATTTTGAGATTACTTCTGTGTATGGAGTTAGTCAGTAATCCAGTTTCATTCTCTTACATGTAGCTGTCAGTTTTGCCAACAGCAGTTGTTGAAGAGGCTGTCATTTCCCCATTGTATATCCATGGCTCCTTTATCATCTATTAATTGACCATATATGCTTGGGTTTATATCAGGGCTCCCTAGTCTGTTCCATTGGTCTATGGGTCTGTTCTTGTGCCCAGTACCAAATTGTTTTGATACTATGGGTTTGTAGTAGAGCTTGAAGTTGGGGAGCATAATCTCCCAGCTTTATTCTTCCTTCTCAGGATTGCTTTGGCTCTTCGGAGTCTTCTGTGGTTCCATATGAATTTTAGAACTATTTTCTCTAGTTCGTTGAAGAATGCTGTTGGTATTTTGATAGGGATTGCATTGAATCTGTAGATTGCTTTAGGCAGGACGGCCATTTTGACAGTATTAATTCTTCCTATCCATGAGCATGGCATGTGTTTCCATTTATTGGTATCTTTAATTTCTCTCATGAGTATCTTGTAGTTTTTGGAGTATAGTTCTTTCACGTCCTTCATTAGGTTTATTCCTAGTTATTTTATTGGTTTTGATGCAGTTATGAATGGAATTGTTTTCAATAGGGTCATGTTTTTAAGACTACAAATAGGTTCACTGTGCTTTCATTTACATAAAACATTCTTAAAGCTTTTATTCAATGAAAAGTTTGCCTTGATTGCCCATTATGGAGTATACTGTTCAAGGAATGTACTAATATCAAAGAAAAGTAAAACTGAGATAAATGAGTTACTTTAACAAATGATATATCTGGAGTTCTAAGACTCTGGTTATTGTGTCTTAAGAATTTGGGGTCTCTGGCTAGGAAGAATGCATTAAAAGAGGGAAGGGCATTAGGAAGTAATTTTAGTAGTTGAAAATGTAATCAGTGGATGTTAAGAAATTGTGAGAGAAATATCTTCTATATAATACTGCTTCTACAGACCGTCATTTTGGAATTAGTTTGGTTATATAGTATTTTTTCCTGTAATTGTTACTGTCTTAGTGTAATTTTTACCCACACAGGTCCACAGTCCTTTTCCTGCAATTCCAAAAATCTGAAAAAAAAAAACGTTTTCATGATTTGGTGACTTAGCCTGATCTGATAGGAGGCTATTCCATTTCCTGTAAATATTTCACTGTAGAAACATTAATATTTGATTGAGAATTGTCCTTTAACTCACTACATGTATTACATGATGTATGTACTACATTAAATTCCAAAATTTCTCCAGTTCAAAAGCAATTTTTTCCCAAGGCTTTGAACATGCCATTTGTAGGCTTGAATATTAAGATTCAATCTCCTCATGCAGAAAAATACTGGAAATGGATATATGTATTCACATAAATTCAGTGTTTTAATAACTCATGTAAGCAAAAAGTATAGTAGCATATTTTATTGGTTTTCTTTATACATTGTCTTTGCACAAGAACATTTTTCTAATATCTTTATTGAAGAACTATTCATTATTTGAAAACTCAGTGTATATTAAAGGACTTACATTTTTCTCTTTAGTTCCTCAAATATCAAATAAAGCAGGCTTCATAATACATAAAGTACAATTATTAGTGAAATGCCGCTTACCTCTTCTTCACCTACATTACATTCATGCAGAGGCTGAAGAACCACCATCCTCCAGCTGTGGAAGATAAAAATTTCGACTTTTATACCAACACGCAGCGATTTTACTCTCTAAGCATAGCTAATGCAGTAGTGCAGTCTCTCCTCGGGACTTCCATAGTTCAAATGGTTGTATTTAATATATTTTTTAAAGAAAAATATTTGTATTACGAGAAAAGGACAAGGAGAAGATGAGGCTTTAAATAAATAGTCTCTTCTACATGGCTGCCTATTATACCTAAGAATGTCCTAAACTTTGAATTAAGTCAGTGGTTGCTGATAAACTGGCTCAGCAAAAATAAATAAAAGTCCTGATTTTATAGCATTTGCCAGTTTGTTTGTGTGAAGAATCTCATCATGGCTCTTCTGAGGTTATAACTAGATCACAGAATTCCTATCAAACCAGTGGCTTGACCAGTCTGCGCCAGCCTACCACTGTAAATTGAAAACCATTGTTGCATCATAACCACAAATACTCCTTATGTAGAAATATATCAACAGATTTTCTGTAGGAAGCCTTATAATACTTCCTAGAGTATTAAATATACTCTTAATACCCCAAAGTAATAATGATTAATAGAAATTAACTAGAATAAAGATGGGAAGGAATACTGTAGTTTTCACCCAGCTCATGTCTGTTTCCAGCCTCTTCTAACTTTTCTAACCTCAGGCTCTGGCTTAGCCTTGCACACTCACCGTGTGCCTTTATTGTGGTCTCCCTATGTGAATACATTCTACCTTCCCCTCCATGTCTTCTCAGACTTTCCCACTCATCTTTTGAGTTAATGAGTTTATTGCTGGCTTGGCAGTATGTCAAAATCTTATTTTTGTTGTCACAGGTGTCTGTCTTAGAGTGTGAATACCCTATGCAAAGGGAGCTGCTTTCTTTGAACTCTTAGCAACTTTGTACAAACCTCCATTTTAAAGAACATGGATTATTTGTTACTTTAATTATTTACCATCTCTAAAGTACCTTTTCATGCCATATATACATAGTAGATAACTAAATATTCAATGAAGGAGACTCTAGGAATGCTAAAGTAAGTAAGTCTTAAAATCCCAATTAATAAAAACAGAAGTAAATTGGGGTACTACATGGTGCTTTTTTTCATCATGAGTAATGTAAAGGTTTGTTACCATTTTCCCTCCATGGCTATACAAATGGAAGGGAGAGGAAAACATCTTTCATTAATAAAAATTCTAACTTTGCTCTGAAAATTTTATTCACGAAAAGAAAATATACATACCTTGGAGTCAGTATTTCCTTATATTGGAGTTTCTCTAACTTAGTTGGGGCTACTAATGACATGGGAATCACAATATTATCTATGTCATAAGAGCTCTCACTTCGCAGTCTCCGTCGTGCAGTATTCTACAAAATAGGATTACACAGTAGTGTCTAGTTACCTGTCATACTCATGAGTTTTATCAAGCAATAATTGCAGTGCAATTATATGAGTTTATCTGATACGTGAGTTTTATAGATACATTGTTAGGTATGTTTTAACATTTTAGTCATATTTTCTATCCTTTGTAAACCAATATAATCCCTTTTAGCAGGTATGCAGTGTACATTTGTGTGCACACATAAGCCTATTTTTAAGACAAAAAAATGAATACCTTAATATGCAAAACTCTTAATAGAAAAAATTACCATAGAGCACCCTGAATGTCAATGAAATGAAGTTTTAACAAACTTTCACTAGGAAAGGCCATGGATGTATTTGGTGAGCCATTTAGATCATTATACTCTTCATTTAGGTGTACCTGGTCCCTGAGCCTCACACTTTTTTCCCTAAATTCTCTCACCTTCTGATCTCTTACTCTGACTAGGTAACAACAAAACAGAGTTAAGAACACAAATGAAAGCCATAACCAAGGGTTAATGAACAACTGACTCCCTAATAAAAATCAAATTCATTGCTTCCTGATAGTTCTAAATATGCTAATATGTGCTAGCAAGTAAAGCTGTTATAGATTAACAAAATTATGAGGTTTTTTTTTTCCTTCCAATTAAGTTTGTTTTAAAAGTCTATATAAAGTCATTTTAGAGTTCACTTTACAAAAGACCTACTTGTGATGATGAACTCTGGGTTCCTGATAACACGTTGACAGTAATAGCAGTAAAACTGCTGTGGGATCCTGGTTCTGTGCGTTGAAAAGCAAATTCCTCAAATCTAGTTCTTTCTCCTGCCATGGAAAGAACCATTGAGAATATCATACATTAAATGTGACTGGTGGGGTTTATTTTTTTAGGTAACGTGATTCCTTATGTCTGATTTTACTAATTTTTTTAATTCTTGCATCAAGAAAAGAAATGAAAAAAAAATCTTACCACAGTCCTCCCACAATTATTTTCATTTTCTAGAGTTTAGACAGTTTTTATCCAAAACATTTCATAACATTTCTTTCAAAATCTCATCCCTTCCCTTTGCTCTCTTCAGGTTTTCTGTAATCCTGTTCAGAAGTTGAACCTTCAAGACTTACTCTCTTAATTTTCTTTCTCTATTCTTTTTTTTTTTTTTATATCTTTGACTTTCTGTTCTACTTTCTGGGAATTCTCCTGTAGAATGTAAAATATGAAATCCAGTGCATGTTTATATTCTTCTAGTTAAAATTTATAGCTCTAGTCAGGATCCACATATTGAAATTGTTTACTGTTTCCTAGGTTTCTTATAATCTAGAAGAGTTCATTTTCATGACACTTGTTAAGAGAGACTACATCAGGTATTCTACACTTTAGAGTGTGGTCTAGTTACTTTGTAGTACAGCATTTTACCTGTTCTATCCCTGTATATCCATCAAACTTGAAGTGGATCTATTAATTCTTGTGAACCATTTTACATCTCAGGTAATGTGTATTTCATAATGCATCTTATTGAAAGTTTTCTTATATTTCAGTACACAGATGGTCCCCAACTTAGAATGGTTCGACTTTACAAATTGTCCAAAAGTGATACACAGTTGAAACCATACTTCAGATGTTGAACTTTACCAGGCTAGCAATAATATGTGGTACAATCCTTGCATGTGATGCTTGTTGGACAGTGGCAGTCAGCCAGTTATCATGAGGGTAAACAACCAATAAACTTAACCTTTCTATACCCAATCAGCCATTCTGTTTTTCACTTTCAGTACAGTAGTCAGTAAATTATCTGAGGTATTCAGCACTTCATTATTAAAATAGGCATTATATTAGACACTTCTGCCCTACTGTAAGCTAATAAGTGGTGTATGTTTGAGATAGGCTAAGCTGTGATGTTTGGTAGGTTAGGTACATTAGATGCATTTTCAACTTAGGATATTTTCTACTTACCATTATGTAACCCAATGTAAGTCAGTGAAGAGCCGTACATATATGAAAGTTCTTCAAAAGCTAGGTGACTCTTCGTTATCTCAACATTGAGGCATTAACAAACAATGAAATCTATGCATATGGGAGGGTGTTAATTTTGTACCACAGTAGCTGATAAGATAGTGACTTGGTCTGTTATAACAGGATTTCTAGACAGTAGTGATAAATGTGTTAAAGCCATCATGTATAAACAGTTCAGTACATCTTAGGTGTAGTCTCTAATTGTGTTTACGTACTGCATCTTGGGAATTCTTGAATGTGTGTAGTGTTGGAACCACTGGGACAATTTATATTGTTACGTCCACTGGAACAATGAACAGTACCAAAAGTATATCATTGGTTTGCTATTCAAAATATATTATTTACAGTTAGCTTTTATTTTTTATCATTTGCAGTAACTATGGTAACTATCTCATCTCAAATCACCACAACAAAGCCCACTTTGTATTACTAGAAGAGTTCTAGACTCAAAGATACCTCTACTGATGATCTTGAGCTGTAAGTTCCTAAAGGGAATTGAACTAGTTGGTTGATTTATACTTTATATGAGTCTTGTCCAGTTTCTCAACATTCTAACGAAGTTTTCAGTGAATCGATACTTCCACAGTGTGTACCAGAAATGGTAACATTTCTATAAGGCAACCTTGTACTGACATATTTTGAGTCCAGAACATAACCTTTGAGACTAAGGCCTGTCCAGGAGGTCAGTTAGTAGAAGATAACTCTAGTCAGGGAACATAGGAAGGAAATTCTTACTTGCCACAAAGTGAGTGGGTTTCTAGTCCAGAAATGACTCTTAATTGACTACATTAATAGACTCTTTAATGTTCATATGACCATGGATGTTTTGTGTAATTAGTGACTTTCTGATTATAAACCACCATGAGTCAGGGGTTTTTTGCAGATCACATTTTTTATTTTCAGTTTTTAGAATTAGTCCTCATATCCTCACTTTAACTTACCTAATGCTGTCTCACTCAAGTGTCTTTTCTTTCTTCCCTGTAACAGCTAAAAGTTTTCTTATATTTCAGTACACAGATGGTCCCCAACTTAGAATGGTTCGACTTTACAAATTGTCCAAAAGTGATACACAGTTGAAACCATACTTCAGATGTTGAACTTTACCAGGCTAGCAATAATATGTGGTACAATCCTTGCATGTGATGCTTGTTGGACAGTGGCAGTCAGCCAGTTATCATGAGGGTAAACAACCAATAAACTTAACCTTTCTATACCCAATCAGCCATTCTGTTTTTCACTTTCAGTACAGTAGTCAGTAAATTATCTGAGGTATTCAGCACTTCATTATTAAAATAGGCATTATATTAGACACTTCTGCCCTACTGTAAGCTAATAAGTGGTGTATGTTTGAGATAGGCTAAGCTGTGATGTTTGGTAGGTTAGGTACATTAGATGCATTTTCAACTTAGGATATTTTCTACTTACCATTATGTAACCCAATGTAAGTCAGTGAAGAGCCGTACATATATGAAAGTTCTTCAAAAGCTAGGTGACTCTTCGTTATCTCAACATTGAGGCATTAACAAACAATGAAATCTATGCATATGGGAGGGTGTTAATTTTGTACCACAGTAGCTGATAAGATAGTGACTTGGTCTGTTATAACAGGATTTCTAGACAGTAGTGATAAATGTGTTAAAGCCATCATGTATAAACAGTTCAGTACATCTTAGGTGTAGTCTCTAATTGTGTTTACGTACTGCATCTTGGGAATTCTTGAATGTGTGTAGTGTTGGAACCACTGGGACAATTTATATTGTTACGTCCACTGGAACAATGAACAGTACCAAAAGTATATCATTGGTTTGCTATTCAAAATATATTATTTACAGTTAGCTTTTATTTTTTATCATTTGCAGTAACTATGGTAACTATCTCATCTCAAATCACCACAACAAAGCCCACTTTGTATTACTAGAAGAGTTCTAGACTCAAAGATACCTCTACTGATGATCTTGAGCTGTAAGTTCCTAAAGGGAATTGAACTAGTTGGTTGATTTATACTTTATATGAGTCTTGTCCAGTTTCTCAACATTCTAACGAAGTTTTCAGTGAATCGATACTTCCACAGTGTGTACCAGAAATGGTAACATTTCTATAAGGCAACCTTGTACTGACATATTTTGAGTCCAGAACATAACCTTTGAGACTAAGGCCTGTCCAGGAGGTCAGTTAGTAGAAGATAACTCTAGTCAGGGAACATAGGAAGGAAATTCTTACTTGCCACAAAGTGAGTGGGTTTCTAGTCCAGAAATGACTCTTAATTGACTACATTAATAGACTCTTTAATGTTCATATGACCATGGATGTTTTGTGTAATTAGTGACTTTCTGATTATAAACCACCATGAGTCAGGGGTTTTTTGCAGATCACATTTTTTATTTTCAGTTTTTAGAATTAGTCCTCATATCCTCACTTTAACTTACCTAATGCTGTCTCACTCAAGTGTCTTTTCTTTCTTCCCTGTAACAGCTCTGCAGAAGAGTCTGACCTTATTTGAGGCTTGCAAGCAGAAGAATATCCGTTTCTCCATTGATTTAGAGTATTATTATATACTGCAACAAATGGAAAGGAAATACAAAGTTTTATTTAGCTCCTTAGCACAAATAATGAACACAGTCTATTTACTTACAGCAGAATATTAATAACATGTAATTACAAAGATACATATAATGAGATGAATACTTAACATACCAATACAGAATACTCCTAAACTGAAAATACCCAGAATAAGATTCCTTATAAACACCGAGTGCCCAGTTTCCTATATTTGCTCCATTATTCGAAGGGGATGAATAGGAAAGGTGCTAGGTTCTCAAAGTCTTCTAAATTACAAAGTTTCATACAGAATATTGCTTCAGATCTGTAAATATTGGCTGAGTATTATCTGAAATCCTTAAGTTAGTTCCTGCTCACCCTTAAATCAGGAAATAACTCAGGAGCAAGTAAGAATCTACAGAATCAGAATAGACTGGGGAGCAAGAACCAGATTTCATCAACCTCTTGACAGTGTAATACTATTTTTTCACTTTTTTAAAGCAGTGCATTTTTAAAAACTATGTCTCTGTGACTCAGCTGCCTTATCTATTTACAGAGATAATAGCTTTCATGGGATTATAACAATAAATTCTTAGAAGGATATCTGACATGATAAGTATACAATAAATATTTTAGTTTCATCATGATTATTGTTGCCTATCTGAACCACAGTGTCCAGTACTGGATTAATAACCAAATCGGCTTCTGTTTTCAAGGGTTTGGAGATGTGGAAAGGAATAGAGAAATAGATCAGTAGGCTGAAATGCCAGATTCTCACTGACAATGAAAAAAAGGAGCATGGCCTACTGACAGTTACCACTACTAATTTAAAGAAGGCAAAGCACGCTAAAAATGATAGATGCAGTTTTTTAGACATAGACACATTCACATATCTGCACATCCACATTAACAAGCAAAAGGGAAAACATAAGTAGAGCAGAATTTTGAGGAATCTCTGAAAGACTAATACCACATGGAAATTTGAAAAGCAAACTCAGTGCAAAAGCACATAAAAATTACTGCCACAAAAATGTGATCCTCGTCAAAGGTGCTCTAAGAGCTGGAAGGAAGGGAAACGGACCAGGACAATTATCTGGAACACGTGATAGGATAACTACACAGGCCAACACCTCAACTGGGGTCCTTGATTGGTGATCTGTTTAGTAGATGACAAAATCTGAGAGTCTTGAGCAGAGAAATGGATGGGTGGGCTCAAGTGCTCCACTTAAAAACATGTCCTTCCCATCCCTAACTGCCTCTGAAAATAATCTCTACCCCTTCCATAAAAGGGACCCCATAAAGAGCAGGGGCAAAACAGTTCTAACAGTGAATATTAATTTTTAAGACTCCAAAAATGTATCAACACCACAAGCAAGTGGTACGAATAACAAATGGAAGAATCAAAAAAAAAAAACTGATTCACAGGACACAAATTAGCAGGTCTTTAAAACAACTAATATTGCCAGAAACAACAGAAAAAAGGCCTCTCTAGAGAGACATCATAAATGGAAAATATAATTCAAATTTAAAACCAATCATCAGTAACTGGGTTGACAGAGTGGACACACAGCTGAAAATCAACATCACTGGGTTGGAGAAGAAATTGCACAACTTGAACAGAGTGATGGAAAATAGGGAAAACAGGACAAACCAAAATTGGGTACCAGGAAAGAATAGGACGAATGGGAGGCAATAATTGAAGAAATGATAGCTAAAATTTTTTCTACAATTGATACTAACCCTAAGATTTCAAGAACTCATTTGCGTGGCAAAGCAAATGGAAGGAAAATCATAATCGTACAGCACGTCACAAGATATCCTAAAAGTTAGGCAAGAAGGGATGAAGAGATTGAAGAATGAGAAATTGACAATGCAAAACTAGATACAGGAAAACAACACTGGCTTTAAAGCACTCGGGGAAAATGGTAGAATTCTAAGATGGTCCCCCAACTTACACCCAGATGCTTGAATTCAGAGATGTTAAATAGAACAAATAAGCTGACAGGCATAATTCTAATAAACTCATTTCTAAAAAGGGGGTAACTAGAATTGTATTAGGTTTTAAAATGTGTATGTGCAAGGCACATGTAGGTGTTCCAATACTGCCCACTATTTTAATGGAAACGTTTGTGGAGTACTTTAAAGCAAATTTCAGACAATTCACTCCTAAGCAGATTTACCACTCTCCTTGCCTTCTAAACACATTAAACATTTTGAAGAAACCTTAAGTATGGTGACAGTTTACTGAATTTTACTCTGAAGTGTTTACCCTTTCCTTTTTCTCATGCTCTAGTATCTTGTAAGGTCACAATGGATTCTTGAAACAGTAGGAAAATCTTATCAGTTTAACTCCACACATTCTCTTCACCTGCCGTATTTATAATGACCCTCTCACCTTTCAGTTCTTGCTCTCCCAATCCTAGATTCTTTTTAAAAGACAGGTGAGCCCAGTATCTCTATCCCTTGCCTTCCCATCCTTCACATTTATTTATTCAGTAAAACTTTTTAGAAAGCCAATTACATGCCAGGCACTATGTTTTGCCCTGGAAACACCATGATGAGTAAAAATAGGCATGGTGAGTATCAACACTACAAGCAAGTGGTACAAATAACAAATGGAAGAATCAACTTAAAAAAAAAAACGGATTCACAGAACACAAATTAGCAGGTCTTTAAAACAACTAATATTGCCTGCTCCTGGTGTAGTTTACAGGCATTTTCTCAAAAACTGCAACCAATGTGAGAGAAAATAAACACTATAGAAGTTAATAATTAGAGTACATAATAGAGATTTCTAGACTGGCTTCCCCAGGTAAAGTGGTAGATTTCAACTATGAACAGAAATAGCTGGTGGCCAGGGCAATGGAAGAATGGCCAGCTGGATGGGAGAATGGAATACACAAAGGCCCAAGGCAGCAGGGAGCAGGACACATTTGGTGGCTAGATGGTGTAGAGTAAGGAAGCATGCTGAAAACTACACAGGTACCATCCTAAGTAGTTATGAATTTATTAAGAATATCCTCTATTAAGAATATTCCATCTGTCAAATATTTTAAAGGAATGGGGGTGGAAAGCAGGTGTGACAAAATTGCATTTTGGAAAGACCACTCAATGTGGGGATTGCAGGGGAATTTTGATGAGACTATTGCGGCAATACAGATCAGGGTTCATTAGGTTGGACTGTGAAAATGGTAAAATGTAGACAGAAGAGCAGATTTGAAACACAAGGTTAACACCTACAATAGGTTTAGATATGAGGAAGGTTTAGATACAGCTGAAGAAGGCCAAGTCCCAGGTTTTTTGGCTTGCTTATGTTGGTTGTACTACTGTTCCTCTCATTTGTCTAATAAATTTTATTTTGACATTTCAGACTTACAGAAAAGTTGCAATAGTACAGAGAAGTCCCATATACCCTTTACTCAGACTTGCCAAATGTTAACATTTTATTACATTTGCTTTATCTTTCTGAACTTCAATGAAACTAAGTTGCAGATACATGAAAAATAGGTCAACATAGATTTTTCAAAAACAAGGGCATTACATAACCACCTGATCAAAATCAAGAAATACCATTAGCTATTCAAATTTTGCTATTTCTATAATCTTTAGAGAAAATCCTGGTTATTCTGCGTTCAGTTGCATATCTCTAAACTTATTGTATCTGAAACGGTCACTGCCTTTGATGA